CGGAACAGGGAGCCCGATGCAGGGCTCGATCCCAGGACCCTGGGATCATGACCTGAGCCGAAGGCAGACGCTTAACGACTGAGCCACCCAGGCGCCCCAAAATGTTCTATTTTTAAAAAGGCAGATAGAAAGGACTTTTCAGATGGTAGAACATTATTAACAAAAGAGGGGAACCTGGGTGGTGCAGTTAGTTAAGCGTCTGACTCTTGGTTTCAGTTCAGGTCATGATCTCATGGTCATGAGATAGAGCCCCACCTCCAGCTCCACACTCAGCTGGAGTCAGCTTAAGGACTCTCTCCCTCTCTCTCTGCCTCTCCCCCCTCCCCAGCTGGTGCACGTGCGCTCTCTTGAGCTCTCTCTCTCTAATAAATAAGTAAATAAATAAATAAATCTTTCAAAAAGAGAGAGAGACAGAGACAAAGAGAACGGGGAGAAAAAGCATGAGGTGTGTTCTACAGATGTAGAGAGTTTAGCAAGGGTGGAGAGTTGAGTCTGGTGACTAGTTAAGGACTCGGCTGGAGAGATGGGCTGAGGTCAGAAAGTGAGGGTATCAATGACAGGCTAACAATTGAGATGTTGGTGAGAAAGACAACCAAGAATGATGGGAGAAAGGAGCCCTTGTAACTTCTCGTCTTTTCCATACTGGAATTTCTCAGATAGTGCATGCATACAATGTTCTATTTCGTATCTTTAACTTTCCCACTATCTGCAAAAACCTACATGAGTTTAAAGTTACCAAATAATTGAGAAGACTAGACAATGAAGAAAAATTGTGTTTAAAAGAATCCACAGCTTACGCCCATTATTTAAAGATAGAGGAGACAAATGAATAAAACTGAATGTTTGAAGGGAACATATTTCCAATTACCACCACAATTACCTTTCAATTTGTCTTTAATGGTTTCTGATAAATGTTTTGTGAGCTGAGGCATTTCTTCTGGAGAGTATTCAGCATTGGCCAGTTCCTCCTTAAGCACAGCATGGATACATTCTTTAACCACAGAGGGTCTGAACCTAAATGAAACAGTTTGAAACAGCTAATTGGTAACTCCAAAACTTCAATTTACCTTCACAGCTCAACTGCCCCCAGCTTTTTCTCCCTAGAACAATTTAATTCTTCTTTTTCATACTTTTTATTATAAAAATGACATACACAACTTAAGAAAACAAGTTACATTCCTGATTTATACCTACAGCCTGGACCTTTCCCCTGAACTTCAGACCACATATTCCAAGACGTATTCCATCTGGATGTCTCATGGACGACTCAAAAGTTCATACATCTAACACTGAACTTCTGTCTCCTCTCTCCAAAACTATATTGGCCAATGGTAACTCCATTCTTCCAGTTGCTCAGGCCAAAAACCTTGAGGTCAGTCTTGTTGACTTTCTCTCTCACAAACTACATCCTGGTTCATGCGCAAATTTTATCAGTTCTACCTTCGGAATAATCTAAAATTCAATCACTCACCACCCCACTGCCACCAGCTTGTTCCAAGCTATCATTACCTCCTGCCTGGATTACAACAGCTCCACACAAGTCTCTCTGTCTCTGCCTTTGTCCCCATATCCTGTGGGACATAGCAACTAGACTGGTCCTGTTAAACTATATGTTGGATCACAGCACTCCTCTATTCAAAATATCCCAAATGCTTGGGGAACTTGGGTGGCTCAGTTAAGCGTCTGCCTTCAGCTCAGGTCATGATTCCAGGGTCCTGGGATCAAGCCCCACATCAGGCTCCCTGCTCAGCGGGGAATCTGCTTCTCCCTCTCCCTCTGCCCCTCCCCCCTGCTCATGCTCGCGCGCGCGCGCTCTCTCTCTCAAATAAATAAATAAATAAAATCTTTAAAAAAAATCCCAAATGCTTCCCACCTCACTCAGAGTAAAAGCAGCATCCTAACTGTGACTTGCATAGCCCTATATGACCTACCCTATCACACTCTCTGATCTTGTTTTCTACTACTTTTCTGCTAGTTCTCTCCACTTGGGTCACACTGGTCTTCCCTATGTTCTTTGACCACACCAGGCACGACAACCTCAGTGCTTCTGCACTTGCTGTTAACCTCTGCCTGAAGTTCAAGTCTCATTCTATATGCATAGCTACCTCCCTCACTTCTTTCAAGTCTTTATTCAACCGTTACTTTCCCTAGCCACCTTCTCTAAAACTTCAAATTGCCCTCCTACCACATCACTTTATATCTCACTTCCTGGTACTCATTACTATCTCATACACTATATAGTTCACTTATGTATTTATCTTGTTTGTTGTCCTTCTACCCAGCTAGAACATAAGCTCCATGAGGGCAGGGATTTCTATCTGCTTTGTTCACTGTTATCTCCCCATTTCTTAGAACAGCACCCAGCACATAGTAGACAATAAATACTTTTGGAAGAAATGGATTATTGAATAAATGAAGACAGAGAAAAAAATCTCCCCTAATTTCACCACCCTAAAATACATTCACATTTTAGTTGTATTTATCATTTTCTTGGCTATACATTCTCTCAATTGATTTGTCTATTATGTACCAAGTGACCAGGATGTTTCAGGTTTTGAGCTTATAATGTGGTATAATATTTGGTAGCCCTAGTGGCCCCCCTTCTTACTTTTTTTGGTTGGAGGGGGTTCCTTTTTTTAATTTAAATTCTGAAGCAACCTTTATTACTTTTTTTTTTAAGATTTTATTTATTTATTTATTTGACACAGAGAGAGATAGCGAGAGGGAACACAAGCGGGGGCAGTGGGAGAGGGAGAAGCAGGCCTCCCGCTGAGCAGGGAGCCCGATGCGGGGCTCGATCCCAGGACTCTGGGATCATGACCTGAGCCGCAGGCAGACGCTTAACGACTGAGCCACCCAGGCGCCCCAACCCTTATTACTTTTTAATAGTATTTTCTTTGCCTGGTTATTCTCACAGATGAACTGTAGAATCATCGACAAATTTCCAGGATTTGATCTGTTCTAAAAGGGGTTTTCCTATTGACAAATGTACTATATCTTTTTTTTTTTTTTTTGAGGGGGGTCTTCCGGTAAAAACCGGAAAACCTGCTAGACAAATTCTAAAAGAGCTGTAACACTTGACAAATGTACTATATCTTAAGGGCTCTACCCCTTAAGCGTTTCTCATTTTCAGCGAAATGTCAAAAGTTTTCTTCAAACAAATCACAAATAATCTCATAGGATTATTCCTACATAATATGTTAATTTTGTTCTGCTTTTGTTGTTTTACAACAGAAATGCAGGCAAATGGCAATCTATGCATTTAGAAACTTTTACCAAGATAACTGAACATACCTTCGTTTTATGTCCATTCTACCCACCAGAAAACTACTGCATGAAATTTTTTTATCACATTCTAACCAAAGTTCCTGGCTTCCAGTATATGCCAAGCATTTGATTCAGCAATCTGGTTTCGAGCAACAGAGGGGCTTTTTTTAATTTAATTTTTTATCTTGTGAAAATAAAGGAAGTGATGGGCCCTACAGCCCTAGCGGACTGTCCTCTGCACTAGACTGTGTACTTTAATTCTGGGAAGGTATCGCGGCGGTGAGCCAAGAACATCCAGATGATACCTGGGTAAGACTTTGTATGCATACAGGTCCCGTTCCCTGCCGAGGAGTAAGCGTATTCTGGCACACGTATGCACACAGTAACCCTCGAAAATGGCTGAACGGCACTCAATGCATGGCGCTGCTTTACTGCTCTTCTCTGTATTCCACCCATTTCTTTTCCTCTGCTCACGTCCCGGGTCTCCTGGAGCCAACCATTCCCACTGCGCTAGCCTTAGGCCCTCCCGGCGCCCTAACACTGCTACTGCGGGTCGGGTCCTCAAATGCCCAGAGCAGCTAGAAGCTCAAGAAAGATAGCAACCCACCTTCTCGCCTCGCCCCACATCTCCAGC